TTCTCAGTGACCCAGAATTAGTAAAGTTTGACTACATTTATTTCAGAAGCATTTTGGCTGTAGAGCAGTGGAATAGAGACAACTGTTCGTTATTAAGTCAAAAAAAAATCCCAACCGTACATAAATATATTATTGTGATTTGGTCACACATGTGCCTATTTATTACTTTTTCCTAAAGTATTAAGTATTTTAGGAAAAATTGCCATAGCGGCCACCAGCAAGAGTTGATGGCTGCACTCTGTGGCCACCAAAAAATTTGTTGCGAGAACCCCTGCCTTAAAGAGGCCTTTGCTACTACTACCCGAAAAAACAGATCCTGCTTCAGCTCCATGTATCGACCTCCTGATCTGGGATCTGAGACACCTGTTTCAATTTGCTACTGGAAAGGATTAATCACAAATAAAGATAATCATTCTTTTAGACACAATGAAGAGTAAAAATGCTTTGTACTTTTCTAGCATCTTTCATTCGAAGATCTCAAAATGCTTTATAACTGTAAGTTAACCCTCACAATAACCTTTTGAAAAAGTAATGATAATGTACCTTGACTTTACCCACCATTAAAATGAAGCAATTTTTGGGGTAGAACAGAGTAGCTGGGTAACAAAACAGATGGATATTACCCAACAGTTTAGGACAAGAAGCGAAGAGGAATACCGTATTCAATTGAAATGGGAAGATTAATTTTAGATAGACTAACAGGGCCTAAGACCATGAAACAAAATTCAAGAGAGGGTCAGACAAATTCAGAGTAACCATGTTTAGGGCAAATTTCTAAAACCTCCTCTCTCTGAGAAAGAGAGGAGAAAAGCTTCATTTACAGGAAAAGTGACCTTTACCAGGGAAAGGAGAAATGAAGATGACACCACTAGGGACCTCGCCATCCAGATATAATTTACCTGGAAAGTACACTTAAATACTATGACTATGGGTGCTATAGAAAACCCTAAAGAGATAAAATGTTTAATTTCCTCACTGCTCTGCATTTAAATACTCAGCTTTAATATTGCATAAATTTAACTGTTTGTATTGAATTATATATTACTACTTATATTTTTAGACATTTTCCATATTGAGTAGTTCTATAAATCAGTACATGGATTTCTATATGAAGACACACGGAATATCCTCTCCAGCGTATGCCAACAACAAACAAACTACTAATTAGGAACAATTTTTGAGTGTGGAAATATGTATTGAATATGAATGGATACAGGATCTTCCTAAGGAATTTATTTTCTTCTCTGGAACCTTAGGCCTGTGAATTTTTCACACCCAAGTGATTTACTTAAGCCAACCTAACCCTTGGTGCAATGGAAGAACTCTTCTGTTGACCTAACTACATCCACTCAGGGAGATAGATTAACTACAGCAACAGGAAAATCCCTTTTGTTGCTGTAGGCAGCATCTACATTACAGAACTACAACTGTAGTGCAGTACCTGTGCTGCTGTGGCTCCTTGCAAGGTTTCATGGCTTTTAATAGTATCTAGGTTTTCTATACTGTTTTTCATCCACAGCTCTCAAAGCACTGTTCAAAGGAGGTGAGTGTTATTATCCACATTTTACCAATGGGGAAACTGAGGCATGGAGCAGTGAAGTGACTTGCCTAAGGGTTATCCAGCCATTCAGGGGCAGAGTCAAGAACAGAAGCCAGATCTCCCAAGTCCCAGTCCAGTGCTCTATCATTAGGTCACATTCCTTATCTGTGTCACATGATTGAGCTTTAGAAAATAAGCTGCTGCACTATAATTTTGAGTAACTTTCCTTGTATCTTACAACAGTACTTGGTATTCAGGTAGAAAAGTAGAAAATAAGAATCCTTTCTACATTCTGCAGACTTGAGAGAGGAAAAAAAAAACCTACAGATACTGCTAGAATTTCTGCACAGACTTTTATTGATTTGGCTATTAACTTACAACACACTATATTCACCAAGTAATATCTATATACAGTACATACTGAAGATGAATCTGTATTGCCTGTTTTGCATAGGGCAGCAGGTTACAATGGGTAGTGATGGTGGAGCCAATCCCACAAATCCTCTATACACAAAACACTCCTAGGAACAAGAGAATCAGAAATACCATTCCAGGTAGTGAATAAATATGGAATAACCTACCCATTTGGGAAGTTTCTTCCCAACCCCAAGCAGTTAATAGTTGGCTTATACCCTGAAGCAGGAGGATTCATGTGCCTTATAAATAAATGTATCATAATCCTATTTCTCTTATCAATGATACTTTTGACAATTAATTGCACCAGTTAATTATGCACCAAAATAATACTATTTATTCACTGAGGCCAATGGGCAAGGATTCAACTGTTTGTTTTACTATTTATTTTATATTTTTCTAATGATTAACCATGCCTGAATTATAGTTATTTTACCTTAAATCTGCAGAGCCTATAACATTTTTTCCCCAAGAGCTTGTTTAATTAATGTACCCAGAAAAACAGAAAAGCCATATTTTCAAAGCAATAAGTCAGTGTTACCCTAGGCACAGGAACATTTTAAAAGCAATTTGATTATCAGGTTCCATTTTAAAGTATTAAGCACATACTTTAAAAGAGGACACAACGAACGTGAGACATTGAGAAAAACTCTTTCATGCTGCAATACTCTGTCTACACAAGATTGGAATATTACAAACATATATGTGATAACAGAGGCAGTGATTTACACACACAAAATCTAGACCATAGCATCTAACTTCCTACACAATAACAATGTGATTTCTGTGAAAATAAAAGCGAACACTGACTCCCCCCCCCCCCATTCATTCTGAAATGCACTGTGAATCTGACAGAGCAAGCTGAACTGGAAATTAACTTGCAGTTAATTCAGTCCAGCAAAAGAAGGTTGGGGGAGAAGGAAATAAATGACAGAGCTGAAAAGAGATGTAGGGTGCTAAACTGTAGTAGCGAAAGATGCTGAAACAATTCTCCTTTTGTATTTCCACATGCTTGCATCCAGCCCAGAAACATGGTCCCCAGTCAAGTACCTTCCTACAGGGTCTAATTTTCTGGTGTGAACTTTCCTCTAGGGTCCAAGTACAATCTTCCCCCCACTTCGCCTTTGCAAAAGGGACACACCATCCAGCCTAAGCCTATAAAAACCAAGTGTGTGTTTCTGCCTGTCCATTGTAAACGCGGATCTCGGGGGAAAGAGTGAAAGGGGGCAAAGTTGGAAGCCTCGCTGCAAGGATCACAGGCCCATCTGCCCTCACTCTCTCCGAGTCACACACCTGCCCCCGCTCCCCACCTGAAAGCGCCTGCTCACTGCAACCAAAAATCACAGGACTTCGCAGACAAACCAAAACTACGGCAAGCGCCAGAGCAATGCAGGGAGATGCCGGGGTTCCCGCCCGGAGCAGGCTCCCCGCACCCCAATTGGGAGAGCAGCAGCAGCAGCAGCAATGGGAGCCTGGCGGGGGTGTCCGGACAGGAAGCAGAGCCCTGACTGCAGCCGCGTGAGCCTAGGCAGGGAGCACCCCGGGGCAGAGGGCCGCGGCAGGGGCTTACCTGGGAGCAGAAGTAGGAGCCCTGGATGCCCAGCTTGATGCAGGTTGGGCACTGCAGCTTGGCCTCGTGGCTGCACCCAGCCGTTTCACACACCCGGGTCTCCACGGCCGCCATGCTGCTGCTGCCACAGAAGCGACTCAGCCACCGGGAGGGAGGAGCCGACGGGGCCCTCGGACTGAAACGGGGGCGGAGCCCCAGCCGCGCAAGAGCCGGCACCTCCCCTCGCCTCTCACGTAGGGCCGGGCTGCAGCGACGGGCCCGTGTCGCGCGCGCGGGCAGACGGCTCCGGCTCAAGGGCGTGTCTGGCGCCCTGCCTCGCCCTGTCAGAGCGGCGCAGCGCAGCGTGCTCAGCTCGTCGGGCCGGCGGCGCTCGGGGGCCTGCGCAGCGCCTCCCGCTCGCCCCAAGGGCCCTCAGCCCTGCCTGTGCACACCGCCCGCTGCGCCTCCGAGCGGCCAGGCTGGGTCAGACCGGCGATCCAATCCGCAGGGCTCGCCGCGCCAGGGGGTGCTGGGTGCCGCGCGGGCGGTGACAATAACTTTGAGCCCCGACTGACAGTCAGGTCTCTTGGTGTCGGGCTGCTTCTGGGTCCTGTTCTTCCTCCTGCCTAACAGGGAACCAGGGGCGCTGGAACCATTTGTGTAGCGGGGGTAGGGTGACCAGATGTCCCGTTTTTAAAGGGACAGTCCCGTTTTTGGGGACTTTTTCTTATATAGGCGCCTATTACCCCCCACCCCCTGTCCCGTTTTTTCACAGTTGCTATCTGGTCAGCCTAAGTGGGGGTGCTGAGAGCCATTGACCCAAACTGTAAACCCTGCATATCATGGAAACGGTTTCAAGCTAGTTCCAGCACCTCCATCCGTGGGGCCAGTTTTGTTTAATAGCTTTATTAATGATCTGGAGGATGGCGTGGACTGCACTCTCAGCAAGTTTGCAGATGACACTAAACTGGGAGGTGTGGTAGATACACTAGAGGGTAGGGATAGGATACAGAGGGACCTAGACAAATTAGAGGATTGGGCCAAAAAAAACCTGATGAGGTTCAACAAGGACAAATGCAGAGTCCTGCACTTAGGATGGAAGAATCCTATGCACTGCTACAGACTAGGGAACAAATGGCTAGGTAGCAGTTCTGCAGATAAGGACCTAGGGGTCACAGTGGACAAGAAGCTGGATATGAGTCAACAGCATAAAGGGCATGTTTCAGAGTAGCAGCCATGTTAGTCTGTATCTGCAAAAAGAACAGGAGTACTTGTGGCACCTTAGAAACTAACAAATTTATTAGAACATAGCTTTCGTGGGCTACAACCCACTTCTTCGGATGCATAGTGGGCAGTAGCCCACGAAAGCTTATGCGCTAATAAATTTGTTAGTCTCTAAGGTGCCACAAGTACTCCTGTTCTTTTTGAGGATACAGACTAACACGGCTGCTACTCTGAAACCTGTCAGTGTGCTCTTGTTGCCAAGAAGGGTAAAGGCATTTTGGGCTGTATAAGTAGGGGCATTGCCAGCAGATCGAGGAACGTGATCGTTCCCCTTTATTCGACATTGGTGAGGCCTCATCTGGAGTACTGTGTCCAGTTTTGGGCCCCACACTACAAGAAGGATGTGGAAAAATTGGAAAGAGTCCAGCGGAGGGCAACAAAAATGATTAGGGGTCTGGAGCACATGACTTATGAGAAGAGGCTGAAGGAACTGGGATTATTTAGTCTCCAGAAGAGAAGAATGAGGGGAGATTTGATAGCTGCTTTCAACTACCTGAAGCGGGGTTCCAAAGAGGTTGGAGCTCAGTTGTTCTCAGTGCTGGCAGATGACAGAACAAGGAGCAATGGTCTCAAGTTGCAGTGGGGGAGGTCTAGGTTGGATATTAGGAAACACTATTTCACTAGGAGGGTAGTGAAGCACTGGAATGCGTTACCTAGGGAAGGGGTGGAATCTCCTTCATTGGAGGTTTTTAAGGCCCGGCTTGACAAAGCCCTGGCTGGGATGATTTAGTTGGGAATTGGTCCTGCTTTGAGCAGGGGGTTGGACTAAATGAGGACCCTTCCAACCGTGATATTCTATGATTCTATGATCCCCTGTTCTCTGACTCACCCTAGGTCTGGGTGCATCCCCATGGCCTCCCACTGGCCTGGCACTCCTATAAAGGGCAGATGGGAAATATGTTCATATCATCTTATCTTGGGCCATGCAGTGTGGGCTCTATGAAAAGATGTTCCAGGGTTCCCTAGCCTTGTTGGAATTGGCCTCGTTGAAACATGGCCAATGGGCATCAGCTAGCTTGCACACAGCATAGTACAGGGAGGCAAAAGTGCAGCTAGGACACTGGAGGAAACTCTTGTGAAAAGTTAAATAATCATAGTTGGCACTTTATACAGACTTTTGCATCCACAGATCCCAAAGCCCTTTCCATAAGTTGTACAAAGTGTAATTATTTAATTTTACATGAGAGAGAAACTAAGACATGGGGGCCTTGTCTTCACCATGAAGAAAGTATTATTTGCCATGTGATCTTAATGTCCATGTGCAGCAGAGAGACTATACTTTTATAAGGTTTCATTTGAAAGATCCACTTTTTGTAAACTGCATGCTATTCAATATGACTACTCAGACAGTAAGACATGACACATGGCTGGTGGGAACAAAGGCATTTACACAATAATTAAACATCCATAGCTGGCCTGGGTGCTCCAAACCCCCTGAAAAGTGTATCAACATTGCCATCTAGATGCTGACCACCCCTGCAGGCCACCAGTTTGTAGCCACCCAGTTTGGCATAGACTTTTAGGGCTATTGTCTTGCAGGTATGTGATGCCATTCATAAGACACTGTTGCACTGGGTTATAAAGCAGGGTAATGTTCAGGAGACTGACAGCTTTCCATGCAGGGCGTTCCCAAACTGAATTTATACACAGAAAAGAGTATTTCTCCCCTGTGCTCCTAGGGCTGACTGATCACCATAACACGTTTACAAACATAAATGCAGAGTGGACTGGAAAGAGCAATGCTGTGAGAGAATCTTTTGGAACTCAGCTCTGTTTACCATAATGAATAAAGGACAGTTTGCCCCCAGGATCACTTTGGACATTAATGGTGTGGAGATTACTCTGGTTATCCTGGGAGAACTGGCTTATCCTCTGCTTCACTGTTTAATGAAGCCATCCAAAGGCTACTTGGACAGTTTAACTATTGCCTCAGAATGGTAGTGGAGTGTGTATTTGGCCATGTGAAAGGAAGGTGACACTGCTTGTAAAATAGGTTGGAAGCTGTTGGGAAAAAAAATCTTGCCTGAATGTGACATATTAGCAGAGGCATTGGAACGGGGACCCAGGGGCTATGCCCCCCCCCCGCCCTTTTTTTACCAACCATAAGGTTGAGCGAGCGAGGGGGGGGGGTAGAGAGAAGTGAGCAGGGGCAGGGTCTTAGGGAAAAGGGGTAGTATGAGGGTACCTCTGACCCCCCCACACACTTTTAGGGACCTTCTGTCATTCCTGCATACTAGGGAACAATCCAGACTAAAGAGCAGCTGTGTCATCCCTGCCCTGCAGCCTTGGGTGCCTTACAATGCCTTGCTGAAGCGGCTTCCACCTGAGCTGCTCACAAACAGCCTTCCAGCATGCTAGCCATGAGTCTGTGTGCAACTGCAGCCTGGTAGCCTCACTTGGATTACACTCTGGGTCTCATCAGCCTTGGTTATACTGCTGGGTGACCCCAACACACTCCCAGTCTTAGATTTCCCCCCAGTAATATATGTCCTGTACTACCCAGTCCTCTCCTGGACAATACAAGTTATATTCAGTCTATTATTTCTTTAAAAGAATAATATGACATCTGATTATTTCAAAAAGAGTTATTCAGATACTAAACACACTGGATTAAATAAAATCTTTGTAGTTAATAAACTTGTTTACTGTTTTAAGTGAGTACAAGCAATGTGGCATAAAAGTCAGAAATGGTCAGAAAAATAAAAGATAAAACACTTCTGGTGCCTTACTTAAACTATCAGAGGGGTAGCCGTGTTAGTCGGGCTCTGTAAAAAGCAACAGCGTCCTGGGGCACCTTTAAGACTAACAGATGTATTGGAGCATAAGCTTTTGTGGGTGAATGCCCACTTCGTCGGATGCATCCGACGAA